CATCCTACTTTAGCTCACCGCTTCTAGTTCTGCACTGTCATCTCCAACTTCTGGGATCAGATATTGTCATACATGCAAGACCTAATGTCCTCAAGATTCCGAAGGACCTGATGCTGTGTGTCTTTGGATATGCTTCTGCGAACTCTACTGCTTCTTCCTCCACCACCACCCAAACTCTCTCAATGGGTGCTTCTTTGTTTGCTGAATGCACATAGGGCTATTCTGAAAGCCTGGACCTTATTTGATACTCCTTCCATTGTCCCAGTCAAAGAGAACTGAAAACTCTCATGTACATTGAAAAGCTAGATGCCATTACCCAGAACTTTGGGCCGACCACACATTTTTTTTAACAGCTGAAAGTCATTTATGGAGCATTCTCTCACAATCTCAGAAATTCCATCTTCTTCACAGAATGGTATGTTAAAGCCTGCCTTATTAACTCTCTAGGCCAATTGAAACTACCCAACAACACCTTCCACTATGCTCCAAGCGTAAGTAGTAACACTTCTGAAACCCAACAAGGACCCCAACTCTTGGCCAAGTTACAGACCTATCTTACTCCTTAAATGTTAAGCTTCTTACAAATATTCTGGCCCACAGATTAAACACTGGTCTTGGTTCTCTTATACATCGAGATTTCCTTCCCCTACAACAAGTTGGAGACAACATTAGGAAGGTCCTCAACCTGCTCCATACTGCATGGCGTAAAAAGCAAGAACTCATGCTCCTTTCGATCAATATAGAAAAAGGCTTTTGACACACTATCATGGCCATATCTCTTTTACGCTCTCAAACAATGGGGATTCCAGGGAAACTTTCTAAACTGGCTCACAGCACTTTTCTCAACTTCCTCTACTTCTGTCCGATACTCTGGATTTCTATCTCCCTGGTTCCCAATTATAGAAGGAACGAGACAAGGATGTCCCTTATTTTTCCTCTTTTGTTTATCCTTGCTCTTGAACCATTGGCAATAACGATATGTGCTTGCATAGACATTAAAGGAGTTGAAAAGGGAACTATTCATGGGAAGCTATCGCTCTTCTGACGACATCCTTTTCACCATCACGTCCCCTCTGATCTCTGTTCCAAGTCTATTTCAGGTCCTCACTAACTTTGTGTCCTTCTCTGGCCTCAAAATTAACCAATCCAAATCTCAGGCCATGGATGTTTCTCTATCCTCTTCTACTCTGGTATCCTTGAAATCCTCATTGTCCTTTACTTGGACCACCAAGCTCCCCTATATGGGGGTTCATCTGAAACCCTCTTACAATACTCTATATCAGGTGAATTATTCCCCCCTTTTCAAATCTCTAGTCCCCCTTCTTCGCTGTTGGTCTCAACTTCCTATTTCTTGGATAAGCCATTTAAACCCAGTTAAGATGTCCTTCCTGCCCAAGCTCCGCTACTGCTTTCAAGTTTTACCTGTCCATGTCCTGCCAATGGTACTGCGTGTCCTATAAAACAAAGTTCTTTCATTTATCTGGCATACCACCAGGCCCCATATTAAAAGGTTTGTACTGTATAGACATAAGTATTAGGAGTAGAGATGAGCGAATCGAACATGGCGAAGTGGAATTCGTTTCGAATATTGGGAAATATTCGATTCGCGCCGAATCCGAAAATTAGCCAACTTCGGATGCACGAATCAAATTTTCCCAAAAATGGCGGCGACATGTGTGGCGACGGAGCGGGGATCTCTGGGAAGGCGCGCAGACAAGGCGCGCTGACCCATAATGCATTCATTCATGACATGTGATCGCATTAGCCAATCAGCAGCCAGCCAGCCAGCACTGTGTAATGGTGGAGCTATAAATTGCGGCCATCTTACAATTCTCCATTAGCCTCCGGTCATTCAAGAGAGACAGACCTGTCTGTATTAGGGACAGAGTTAGGGCCAGAGAGACTTTAGGGCCACAGAATCGTTACTTAGGGACACAGAATCGTTACTTAGGGACACAGAATCGTTACTCAGGGACACAGAATTGTTACTCAGGGACACAGAATTGTTACTCAGGGACAGACACAGAATTGTTACTGAGGGACACAGAATTGTTACTGAGGGACACAGAATTGTTACTCAGGGACACAGAATTGTTACTCAGGGACAGACACAGAATTGTTACTGAGGGACACAGAATTGTTACTCAGGGACACATAATTGTTACTCAGGGACACAGAATAGTTACTCAGGGACAGACACAGAATTGTTACTGAGGGACACAGAATTGTTACTGAGGGCCACCGAATTGTTACTGAGGGACACCGAATTGTTACTGAGGGACACCGAATTGTTACTGAGGGACACAGAATTGTTACTCAGGGACACAGAATTGTTACTCAGGGACAGACACAAAATTGTTACTGAGGGACACAGAATTGTTACTGAGGGACACAGAATTGTTACTGAGGGACACAGAATTGTTACTCAGGGACACAGACACTCAGGGACACAGAATTGTTACTGAGGGACAAAGAATTGTTACTGAGGGACACAGAAATGTTACTGAGGGACACAGAATTGTTACTCAGGGACACAGAATTGTTACTCAGGGACACAGAATTGTTACTCAGGGACAAAGAATTGTTACTCAGGGACAAAGAATTGTTACTGAGGGACACAGAATTGTTACTCAGGGACAGACAAAGAATTGTTACTCAGGGACACAGAATTGTTACTGAGGGACACAGAATTGTTACTCAGGGACACAGAATTGTTACTCAGGGACACAGAATCGTTACTGAGGGACACAGAATTGTTACTCAGGGACACAGAATTGTTACTGAGGGACACAGAATTGTTACTGAGGGACACAGAATTGTTACTGAGGGACACAGAATCGTTACTGAGGGACACAGAATTGTTACTCAGGGACACAGAATCGTTGAATTAAAGAGTATGTCAGACAACACGCAGAGGAGTGGCAGAGGAGGCAATGTTTCAGGAGCGAGCAGACGTGGCAGCAGAGGAAGGGGTCGAGGCAGCACTAGTCGCAGCCAGAGGCCAGTGCTCCCGGTGTCATCCAGCGGTCGTGTCTCCACCGACAACCCTGCCGTCATCGATTGGTTGGCTCGGTCGTCTTCCTCTTCCCAGGTCACCTCTGACACCTACAGCCAACGGTCGGTGGGTACGTCAGACACAACCGTTAGTTGGCATGGTCCGGGAGCAAGCCCACTGAAATCACGTGTCCTCTACCTGCCCCTGTCCTTTGGTGTTCCCTCACCAAGCGAAGTATCGCATGCTGTGGGCTCAGTCCCACTGTACAGTGAGGAAGAGCTAACAGAGGGCGGTCAGGAACGGGGGGAGACATCCGCCTCTTCAGCAGCCAGGCGAAGAAGTACTGGCGAGGAGAGTGGCTCGGTAGCCGGTCTAGAGACAGGTCTGTCTCCTGACCCACACGCAGCCGAGGGGGCTAGTAGTGAGGCGGAGACCCTAATTGAAGATGATGAGGCTGATCGCACTTGGCAGCCTCGTCGTCATCTGCCAGGCCCGTAATCTGCCATGGGCCCCCGTACCGACTCCTCATGCTGCTGCCAGGCCCGTAATCTGTCATGGGCCCCTGTACCGCCTCCTCATGCTGCTGCCAGGTCCAGAGTGTGTCATGGGTCCCTGTACTGCCTCCCATTGCTGCTGTCTCCATCGCCACACTCTGCTATGTGCCACTTTCAGGTCTCCTCACACTGCTGGTGGGTTCCATTTTGTCATAGGGTGCTGGCAGATTACGGGCCTCCCATTGCTGCTGCCAGGCCCGTAATCTGCCATGGGCCCCCGTACCGCCTCCTCATGCTGCTGCCAGGTCCAGAGTGTCTCATGGGTCCCTGTACAGCCTCCCATTGCTGCTGTCTCCATCGCCACACTCTGCCATGTGCCACTTTCAGGTCTCCTCACACTGCTGGTGGGTTCCATTTTGTCATAGGGTGCTGGCAGATTACGGGCCTCCCATTGCTTCTGCCAGGCCCGTAATCTGCCATGGGCCCCCGTACCGCCTCCTCATGCTGCTGCCAGGTCCAGAGTGTCTCATGGGTCCCTGTACGGCCTCCCATTGCTGCTGTCTCCATCGCCACACTCTGCCATGTGCCACTTTCAGGTCTCCTCACACTGCTGGTGGGTTCCATTTTGTCATAGGGTGCTGGCAGATTACGGGCCTCCCATTGCTGCTGCCAGGCCCCTAATCTGCATGGGCCCCCGTACCGCCTCCTCATGCTGCTGCCAGGCCCGTAATCTGTCATGGGTCCCTGTACCGCCTCCTCATTGCTGCTGCCAGGTCCAGAGTGTGTCATGGGTCCACTGTACGGCCTCCCATTGTGCCACTCTGCCATGGTGCCACTTTCCTCCTCACACTGCTGGTGGGTTCCATTTTGTCATAGGGTGCTGGCAGATTACGGGCCTCCCATTGCTGCTGCCAGGCCTGTAATCTGCCATGGGCCCCCGTACCGCCTCCTCATGCTGCTGCAGGTCCAGAGTGTCTCATGGGTCCCTGTACGGCCTCCCATTGCTGCTGTCTCCATCGCCACACTCTGCCATGTGCCACTTTCAGGTCTCTTCACACTGCTGGTGGGTTCCATTTTGTCATAGGGTGCTGGCAGATTACGGGCCTCCCATTGCTGCTGCCAGGCCGTAATCTGTCATGGGCCCCTGTACCGCCTCCTCATGCTGCTGCTGCCAGGTCCCCAGAGTGTGTCATGGGTCCCTGTACCGCCTCCTCATGCTGCTGCTGCCAGGTCCAGAGTGTCTCATGGGTCCCTGTACGGCCTCCCATTGCTGCTGTCTCCATCGCCACACACTCTGCCATGTGCCACTTTCAGGTCTCCTCACACTGCTGGTGGGTTCCATTTTGTCATAGGGTGCTGGCAGATTACGGGCCTCCCCGTATTGCTGCTGCCAGGCCCGTAATCTGTCATGGGCCCCTGTACCGCCTCCTCATGCTGCTGCCAGGTCCAGAGTGTGTCATGGGTCCCTGTACGGCCTCCCATTGCTGCTGTCTCCATCGCCACACTCTGCCATGTGCCACTTTCAGGTCTCCTCACACTGCTGGTGGGTTCCATTTTGTCATAGGGTGCTGGCAGATTACGGGCCTCCCATTGCTGCTGCCAGGCCCGTAATCTGTCATGGGCCCCTGTACCGCCTCCTCATGCTGCTGCCAGGTCCAGAGTGTGTCATGGGTCCCTGTACGGCCCTCCCATGCTGCTGTCTCCATCGCCACACTCTGCCATGTGCCACTTTCAGGTCTCCTCACACTGCTGGTGGGTTCCATTTTGTCATAGGGTGCTGGCAGATTACGGGCCTCCCATTGCTGCTGCCAGGCCCGTAATCTGCCATGGGCCCCCGTACCGACTCCTCATGCTGTGACGTTGCAACAAGGTGGATTTCAACCCTACATATGTTAGACAGCCTTTACGAACAGCGAAAGGCCATCACTGATTTCCTGATGTTACAAGCGGATAAAGGTACTCCCCTGTGTAACTTAGATGTCAGCCATTGGCAGCTCATGCGTGACACCTGCCGCTTGCTCAGGCCCTTTGAGGAGGCCACGCTATTCGTGAGTCGGCAGGACTATGGGATGAACGACGTCATTCCTCTGTTGCACGTCCTGGAACAAATGCTGTTAACAATGGCTGGTCAGGGTGCGGTAGACGTGGCGCACATATCTCAACGTCACATGACCCCTGTGGGGGCAGGACAGGAAGAAGAGGAGGAGGTAGAGGAGGACATTGGTGCTCAGGAATTATTGAGTGAAATGGGTGGTTTTTCCACTCAGCGGACAGGAGTGGAGGAGCAGGAGCATCTGGTAGAGGAGGAGGAGGAGGAGACAGAGGACCCAGACGCACCGTGGCAGTATGCTGTGGAGATGGAGGCAGGGAGTCCCTCGCATTCCTTGGCACAAATGGCCCATAGCATGCTCAGTTGCTTGCGTAGCGACAGCCGAATAATAACCATCAGACAGAGGGATGACTTTTGGCTGTCCACCTTGTTGGACCCCTCGCTACCGTTCAAAAAATGGTGGCCTTTTTCACACCTGCTGAGAGGGAGGCCAAAATAACGTACTATAAAAACCACCTATGTAGTCAGTTGGTCTCTGCCTTTCTGCGCCAACGTCCATCCTCAGACACTGTGGGCCCTGTGCGCTCGCGTTCCGCTGCCATGGCAGCAGGGGAGGGGTGGGGTGGTAGGAGCAGTGGCAGCTCCACCAGCAGCAGCTGCCTCAGTCTGCAGTCGATGATGAGTAGCTTTCTTCACCAGCGCAGTGAGGAAAAAACCTACTAACCAGCCGCAGCAGCAGCAGCATCAGGTGGACCTGGAGCAGGACCTCAAACAACAGGCTTGTGCCTACTTGGACAGCACCCTGCCAACCGAGGTAGACAATCCCCTTGACTACTGGGCAACGAAAACTTGACCTTTGGCCCCAACTAGCTGAATTTGCCCTTGAAAGGCTGTCATGCCCGGCCAGTAGCGTGGCATCGGAGCGCGTGTTTAGTGCGGCAGGAGGTATTTTAACTCCGCGGAGGACACGACTGTCCACCCAAAGAGTGGAGAGACCACTCACGTTTGTGAAAATGAATCAGGCGTGGATTAGTCTGGATTTCAAACCACCAGTTCCTGACACAACTGACTAAATCCGCCATGAATCATGCCCCAAACATGTTATTATTTTTAACATAGGCCTCTGTATGGCCTTCAATTTAAGCTGCTTTCGCTTCGCCACTCTGCCATGGGCCCCTGTACCGCCTCCTCTTGCTGCTGCCAGGTCCAGAGTGTCTCATGGGTCCCTGTACGGCCTCCCATTGCTGCTGTCTCCATCGCCACACTCTGCCATGTGCCACTTTCAGGTCTCCTCACACTGCTGGTGGGTTCCATTTTGTCATAGGGTGCTGGCAGATTACGGGCCTCCCATTGCTGCTGCCAGGCCCGTAATCTGCCATGGGCCCCCCGTACCGCCTCCTCATGCTGCTGCCAGGTCCAGAGTGTCTCATGGGTCCCTGTACGGCCTCCCATTGCTGCTGTCTCCATCGCCACACTCTGCCATGTGCCACTTTCAGGTCTCCTCACACTGCTGGTGGGTTCCATTTTGTCATAGGGTGCTGGCAGATTACGGGCCTCCATTGCTGCTGCCAGGCCCCTAATCTGCCATGGGCCCCCGTACCGCCTCCTCATGCTGCTGCCAGGTCCAGAGTGTCTGTCATGGGTCCCTGTACGGCCTCCCATTGCTGCTGTCTCCATCGCCACACTCTGCCATGTGCCACTTTCAGGTCTCCTCACACTGCTGGTGGGTTCCATTTTGTCATAGGGTGCTGGCAGATACGAGGGCCTCCCATTGCTGCTGCCAGGCCCGTAATCTGCAATGGGCCCCCGTACCGCCTCCTCATGCTGCTGCCAGGTCCAGAGTGTGTCTCATGGGTCCCTGTACGGCCTCCCATTGCTGCTGTCTCCATCGCCACACTCTGCCATGTGCCACTTTCAGGTCTCCTCACACTGCTGGTGGGTTCCATTTTGTCATAGGGTGCTGGCAGATTACGGGCCTCCATTGCTGCTGCCAGGCCCGTAATCTGCAATGGGCCCCCCCGTACCGCCTCCTCATGCTGCTGCCAGGTCCAGAGTGTCTCATGGGTCCCTGTACGGCCTCCATTGCTGCTGTCTCCATCGCCACACTCTGCCATGTGCCACTTTCAGGTCTCCTCACACTGCTGGTGGGTTCCATTTTGTCATAGGGTGCTGGCAGATTACGGGCCTCCATTGCTGCTGCCAGGCCCGTAATCTGCCATGGGCCCCCGTACCGCCTCCTCATGCTGCTGCCAGGTCCAGAGTGTCTCATGGGTCCCTGTACGGCCTCCCATTGCTGCTGTCTCCATCGCCACACTCTGCCATGTGCCACTTTCAGGTCTCCTCACACTGCTGGTGGGTTCCATTTTGTCATAGGGTGCTGGCAGATTACGGGCCTCCCATTGCTGCTGCCAGGCCCGTAATCTGCCATGGGCCCCCGTACCGCCTCCTCATGCTGCTGCCAGGTCCAGAGTGTCTCATGGGTCCCTGTACGGCCTCCCATTGCTGCTGTCTCCATCGCCACACTCTGCAATGTGCCACTTTCAGGTCTCCTCACACTGCTGGTGGGTTCCATTTTGTCATAGGGTGCTGGCAGATTACGGGCCTCCCATTGCTGCTGCCAGGCCCGTAATCTGTCAAGGGCACCCGTACCTACTCCTCATGCTGCTGCCAGGCCCGTAATCTGTCATGGGCCCCTGTACCACCTCCTCATGCTGCTGCTAGGTCCAGAGTGTCTCATGGGTCCCTGTGCGGCCCTCCATTGCTGCTGTCTCCATCGCCACACTCTGCCATGTGCCACTTTCAGGTCTCCTCACACTGCTGGTGGGTTCCATTTTGTCATAGGGTGCTGGCAGATTACGGGCCTCCCATTGCTGCTGCCAGGCCCGTAATCTGCCATGGGCCCCCGTACCGCCTCCTCATGCTGCTGCCAGGTCCAGAGTGTGTGTCATGGGTCCCTGTGTACGGCCTCCATTGCTGCTGTCTCCATCGCCACACTCTGCCATGTGCCACTTTCAGGTCTCCTCACACTGCTGGTGGGTTCCATTTTTGTCATAGGGTGCTGGCAGATTACGGGCCTCCCATTGCTGCTGCCAGGCCCCTAATCTGCCATGGGCCCCCGTACCGCCTCCTCATGCTGCTGCCAGGTCCAGAGTGTCTCATGGGTCCCTGTACGGCCTCCCATTGCTGCTGTCTCCATCGCCACACTCTGCCATGTGCCACTTTCAGGTCTCCTCACACTGCTGGTGGGTTCCATTTTGTCATAGGGTGCTGTATGGCCTCCCATTGCTGCTGCCTCCACCACCACACTGTGGCTCCACACTCTGGTTTTGGCCCCGTGACTGCCCAAATGAGTGAAGTGTGCGGTGATTCTAAGATCGACGGCACTCATCTGCATGTCATACTGACTGACAGTATTATTTCTCTTCCCAGCAGACTCCAAGGGCATTTAAATTAAAGGTACAGTGTTCTGCACTAATATAAAGGCTCTCTGAAGCCTAGAAACACCCTTTTTATAAGTTAAATTCGCAGTGAATATATTCGACTCGAATCAAATTTATTCCGCGAATTCGCCGAATCAGCCGAATCGAATTTTTTAATACTTCGCTCATCTCTAATCAGGAGGATTGGGAACTCTGTGCCTTCTTCATTATTATAAGGTGGCTCAATTGGCCCCGCTCACCAAATTCCATGCTACTGCTGAAATCCCCATATGAACACTGTTGGACAAAATTGATTGCGATATCATGGCCTCTAAATCCTTGCTATGGCTACCACCCCCCCCCCCCCCTTCTCTAACTCCTTCCTTGATCCATTACAATTTGGGACTTGGTCAAATACTCTGGTGACCTTCGGTCTCCTTATGTTCCATTGCTGAGCCTGACAAACTGCCCTCTGTTCCCTCCTGGTGTTGAAGTCCACCGTAAATTTTCTTGGTGGACCCAAAAAGGATTTACCAACGTCCTTTGACTATTTTCATAACATGCATGAGGCGCCATTAGGGGAAATCTTTTGTTACATCAAACTCAGACATTTTGTTCACTCCCTCCTCTTAAACAAACCCACCCCCTTCAGACTGGAAGGCTTTTTGGGAGTCCACAGCCACCTGCTCAAGAAATGTAACTGCACTCATATAAAGTACTTATGCGTTGGTATCTTACACAAGCCAGTATCTTTACATTTATACCTGGCCACTCACCTCTCTGCTTTTGGTTGTGTGGACAAGTGGGCATAATGGCCCACATCTTGTGGACCTGCCTGAGAGTGCACAGGCTCTGGATTAAGGTGTATTCCTTGATAGACACTATCAGGGGCGGACTGACAACTCATGGGGCCCCCAGGCAATAGGGGATCATGGGCCCCTGTGTCCTTGCCCAAACTCAAAAAAGCCTATGAAAAAGGTACCAGGGGCATCTCATGGGGCCCCCTACTGACCCAGGGCCCTCAGGCAGTGCCCCGAGTTTCCAAATGGTCAGTCCGCCCCTGGACACTATTCTCCACTATAACTTGCAAAAAGACCCAGTTCAGGTGCTATTCCTTAAACGCATACAAGCAGTTCATAAAAACACACTAAATTGATCACATTCTTGTTTATCGCTACTAAGCAAGCCATTGCTCACTCTTGGAAGTCACCAATCCGCAGCTTCCAGGAAGTCAAACATCTGACTGGCTTCAAGGTCAATGAAAAATTGACAACCATACTGGAAGATAAGCAGGATAAGTTCTTGAAGATCTGGTCTCCATGGATAGATCATTGCCATTCTGATTTGAGAGCACTGTAGCTATTTTTTGCTGTCTCTCACTGTTGCAGGACTAAGTCATTGGGTTGCAATGACTGTCCGAGGTACCACCCTCATCTCTTTTTCTAACCTATACTCTTCTCTACTACTCCCTCTTTTCTTCTCACCTACTCCCCTTCTTTTCCCTCTCTACTGACCCCTTCCAATTCTCCCCCAGCAAGCCCCCCCCCCCATATTGTAATGTTGGAGGGTGATCCTGCAGGTACCCCATTCTAATATGCAAGAATTGAAGAGGTGTCATGCCTTGATGTGTCCACAGAGCTCTGTCTGCCTTTATCAACTCTGGTGGCCCTGGCTGCCCTACCATTATCTATTACTCTTGATGCCTGCAATGGAATTCCCGCCTTTTGTTTTATTCTGTATCCCTGATTTTTGTTTTATTTCTTATTGTACTTTACTATACGTTCCATTTTTGTTAACATGTAAACTCTAATAAAAAATGATTGAACCAGAAACTACAGCAATAAGGCAAACCAACATAATTTAGGTATGCATAATTGATTTTCAGAGTAGAAAAAAATCATTTCTGAAGAAGGCCTGCTGCAGGACGATACACATAAAAGGGTGGAGTCTTCAATTTTAATGATACCATCATGGTAATGGGTGCTTAGGATCCATGAGAGTAGTGGTGAGCTGTGTAATTGGTGCCATATGTTTGGTTCACATACAGTATGTTGGATTGCTTTAACATGTGCTTTTACCACTCTGCTTGATAGTGTTTTTATTCCTTATTATTGCTAAATAATGAATTTATTATGATTTTGCCTTCATTTTCACACAGTGACATTATTTAAGTATTATTTAAAGCTTTTTCACCATTATTTTATATCGCTTTATTAGTAAAAGCTTTTTTTATGAATTGAGTTTAGTAAGGGTAGAGTTACCACTTCCAAGTGCTAGTTTACTCCCTGATGTGATTGTGATAATTGTGCAGATTAATATTTGTTATTTCATCATACATGGTGGGTCAAAAGTAGGTATACATTACTTCTATATTATTGTACATTAAATAAATAAATAATAGTAATAATAATTAAAATAATAGGAGTAAATTATATCTCAAAACCGTTATGTGTATAACGAGCTATGCTTTAGAATATTAATAGCTCTCTCAAGGCCTTCCCCAGTTCAATACTTGGTAAAATCTACCCCTTTACTAATCTTCTGCACTGTCTTTAATACCCTCTGTAAGGCATTTCTGTCATGGATAGCTCATGTCCCCTGCCACAGAGAGATATGATAGATCAGCACCCTCTCATTAGCAGTCTTATAGAAGCCGAGGAAGACCCACTCCAAAATGCCTGCCTTCCACAGCTTCAACAAGCAGTACAATCTCTAAAAAAACCTTACCTACCAGATGGGATATATGCCCTGTGCCCCCATGACAGAACCTTGAACACCATCATAGTTTCTAAGATAAGCATTTTTGGGGTCAGTGTCAATTTTTTTTAATAAAATCCAGATAATCTAAAGCCTTAATTTTGTAAAATGTTATCACATTTGTTGGACAAAAGTGTCCCTTCAAAAATCAATTTTGGTTGTTACTAATAATATCATTTCTTTGACAAAATCCTCTATGAAGTCCCTTAGCATGCCCTCA